CACATTTTTAAAAGCGTTGCAAGTTTTTGATGTGAGGCCTTTTAGATATGTTCAATTACATAATATCAACCATGCATGAAAAGTAGAGCCTTTTAAACATATATGTGACGAGAGGGGCGGGGCCGAGAGCCATGGGAACGGAGCGAGGCCGGTGGAGTAATTGCTAATGCGCGACACCTGCGCCACTCACCGGTCTCGAGTCTCACGGAGGAGCTCCGGAAGGATAAAAGTAGGAGTGACAACAGTGAAAGACGAGAGAGGACCAGGCCTGGAGTTTATTTTGTGTTTTGGTTGTGCGCGACAGTCGTCCGCGAGGGGCTGTCGCGCTATTTTGTGTTTGTTTATTTTATTATTAAAGTTTGTTTAAATGTCCGCCGGTTCCCGCCTCCTTCTTCCCGAACTACGAACTTTGCTACAATATCAAATGCCTTTATATGTAATGGTCATTTTTGGTCTGTGTCTTTTAAAAATATCAGAGGAGACACCACTGTGTACTTGTGGAAAGTGGCAAGTATTTTTCCTGCCATTTCGAGGTTTCAAACAACACGACTTCTAAGTAGTCCACAGGCAGCACAGCACCTGAGGTCATCGCGGGCCATAGTGACATGTAATTGCTTACACTGCCCACGCTGAGTGTGAAGCACAAAGTGTGAGCGGTTTACAGGTGTGGAGGCTTGCACTGCCATTGTTCGCTCTTATGTGAAATGGTGCTCTGAATGTCCGTCATTGTGCTCTAGAGAGAGTCAGCAAAGCGATCAGAGGCTGTTGGGGGAAAAAACCCTGGGAAAGAAGCTTCGTCCTGTCGGGAGAGACAGTCACGGTCAGATAATAATGAAGACATCATGGTGGCTATATATAGGCGTCTTACTCAGTAGAGTCTTGAACATGTTTAGAGATTCTCGCAGCACTAGGGGAGCAGCCATTGATTCTGCCCTAGGTTTTGCTTATTGAGGTTGGCAGACTCTGTTTGAGGACGGAATCCTAATGCTGCTCTGCCATTCAATTGGGGATCTCTGGAAGTGAGTCTGAGCCATTGTGCCTTGATGTTTGATGGAGTACTCAACAGTTAAAGATTCATGAGAATGCATTATTCTGTTTTCTAGCACTATTGAATCAGCAAGAATGCATACGCTTTTTTGGCATGGATGAAACTTTATAAATCCGTGTTCATAATCTTGGATCAGCCAGTAATTGAGGATTAGAGTTTAATGAAAAATACTGATTCATGCTTGGTAGACTTGTGCCGGTATTCGGTAATGCGATATATCACGGTAATGAATATGCACGATATTGTTATTGTGGGCACTTCTAAATACCGTGAATAATTATATATTACAAATTATTCAGAATTTTGAATGCATTTTAAGAATACTTTTCCCATAAACTGGTCAAAATGCACAACACCGCCGTATGCTGCATGAAAGATGCGTGCGCACTCTGATGTAAACAAGCGCAGACGGTATTTTTTAAACAAGGATTAATAACTTCTGTAGCAAATGTAGCTATTGCTCATTGTGAATGTTAATGCATTAACTAAGGTTAACTAATGAGGTCTTATTGTAAAGTGATACCTATTGGTCTTTATAGTTCTTTTGCACTTTAATTTAATTTTGCATTTAAATGTTCAGTTATTTTTGTTATAAGAAAAAAGTTATTAAACCTGTTATACTGTATTATGACAGCACTTTTTTTTACTTCATTTCAATATCGTGATAATACCGTATACCGTAATAAAAGCATTAGCAATTAATCGCAACATGAAAATTTGATACCGGCATATCCCTAATGCTAGGATAGATCCACACTTTCTTAGCAACAATGATAGTCATATAATTACATCACATATCTTTTTTTTTTTCATATCACGTTTTAGGACATACCAATTACTTGTTGAAAATAAAATAAAAACTCTTTTCTGGACATGCAACATCAGATCCAAATGTCTTTCTTGGCTTCTACCCCAGAGTCTGTCACAGTACAAAGAGAAATCCACTTCAACTGCAGTCTTACATTGAAAACCAATAGTGTTCAAACTCCCATATAGGAAATACAAGTTACAAATTAGATCTCCTTAATATTTCAATTATTTCTTCTAGACAGCAATGAGATTAAATAGAAAGCAAATGGAACGGTTTTTTTCTATTTTTTTCTACACCCCAATAATCCCACATTTGTCCTCTAGAGTTTTAGGATAGATATAAATAATGTCTCAAACTGTGCTCACATTTGCCAAGATACCAAATTCTGCCATCAAAAGTAAAACATAAATATGAAGTCCAGTATTTCACATAAAATGAATACTGTGCTATCCATTTTAATTTTATAGCTGTATACTATATGTAAAAATGTCTCTCTTAGCTTGAGTTAGTAACAAGACTTGCAAAGAGAAATTCACTTCAACTGCAGTCTTTTATTTCAAACCAATAGAGTTAGAACTCCCACAGGAAATATAAATTACAAATGAGATCTCTTTAATATCTAAGTTGTTTCTTTTAAACAGCAATGAGATTAATAGAGAGACACAATCGTCCTACTTCTCCGTTTTTTCATCTTTCAGAAAAAAAAAGAAAAAAAAACACCTCATTAATCCCACATTTTTCTCTTCTTGTGTTTCACAAATAGATGTCAATTATGTCTCAGACTCTGCTCAGATTTTGAAATACTCCAGTATATCTCATCAAATTATTCCAGTGCAACCGTTTTAATTTTATAGCTCTCTATACTCGTTCTATGTCAAAATGTCTCACATTTAGGCCTACATCCATTTTTTATTTCCCTTAATGAACTTTATTGAAAGCAGACAAAGTTGATATTTCAATGAAACAGCTGAGACCTCCATAAATTCTTTCAAACTATGAAAGATCAACCACTGAGCAATAAAATATTCCTGGCTGTAAAAGCACTTGTATGTAAATCAATCAAACAAGCAAACTGATCAAACTCGGCACTCAGTATATGACAGCACAATCTCCTAGAAAGCCATGGAAGCACAAAAAAGTCTTGCAAAACAAGCCAGAATACCATTAAATGGCAGAACTAAACGTTATTTAAGACATGAGCGTTAGAAAAATAGCACCGAAGCCACAAAGAGCTTTTGCTTATTGTGTTCAGTTATATTACATTTCTTGGCCTGTTCCTGTCTACAATAATTCTGTCATCTGCTGTATCAAGTGTTGCACGTCTGAACATAATTTGGATGGGTAGTCTAGTCTATGCAGATGAGTTATGACATGTGACTGATTGTAGCACATATGGTGCCACCGTAAACGCTCTCACCCCCTGCTGGCCATCAGTCACACTGCACCAATTTTATGAGATACCCCTGACAGTGGAATCAGTTACCATGTTGACATTTGCTGCCAACATTGACTGTTTTTGACACCAACTAGAGGCCAATCATAAAGTCAGCAACAGCTGCTGCAGACTTCTGAAGATATTTGCCCCAATAGTCTGCCAAAAAACCCAGTGGCTTAACACCCACGAGCAGCTGCTCAGTTGGTTTACATGTGAGAATGTGCTTTTGCTGGAATGCATTAAGTCTGATTGTTTTTGCTGGCATTTCCGCATACATATTAACATCTTAAATTATAGTGCTCTCATAGGGAGCATCTAAGTGCATGCACTTTTGCTGAGCCCACATGCTAAAAATTAAAAAAAATCATAAACAAAATGATTATTTTAGCAGATTTTATACAATATTTTTGTGGTTGGTTGACTGCAGTCCTAAAACAACCTTACTTAGGTAAACATTAATGGTTCAATCTAGCAAGAAGCTGATATTATTAGCCTGCGGAGATCACCGCACTGCAGCTTTTGTGTTTCCAGGCTGAGTTTTATCTGCTGAAATACAAAGGAAACTGCTGCTTTCAGCCATGATGCAAGGATTACAGAAGAAACCTCTTTACCTTCACACCTCAACAGTATCGACTGAAATTCGCACATATATTTGCTCTCATTCTCAAGAATGAGACAGACTCAAAGTGTTCTGTTCACCTTACCTTGTAATGCACAGGTAAAACTGACAATGTTTTTTTTTTTATCATCAGTAAGGTCTCGTAAAGTAAGATTTGAAAAATAATAGAAGACCAGAAGATTAAAACCAGAATAGTTCACCTAAAAAAAAAAAAAAAAAGGTAATTATTCATTATAACATGAAACAAACATTTGATTTCCAACAATTTTATTATATGATTAATTTCTTCCAATCCACTTCTTATTTCAGTTCAAGCTCTAGTAGGCATTGGTGTGAATTTTCAGTTTGCATACATTCTCAATTTGCACAACCCTGGTTGCAAGATAGAAAGTCATATGCATGCATTTAAAATGACATGTAGGTGAAAAAAAAAAAAAACTTTATTTTTGGGTGATCTGTCCCTATAAATAATTTTAAGATGTGTGCTTGATATGAATGCTGTTGGATTTTTTTCTTAAAGTTAGCATAAAATGAATGCTAACTTTTACATCTATAATAAAATATTTTACATCTATTTGCCAAACCACACACACACACACACACACACAGACAATTCATCCATGCATATGTTTCTTTTTTCTTTTTTTTTCACCTTGTAATTTTTAAGCAAAATGTCCTAAAATTATATTTTGTTGATTAAATGATGCCAGAATGTTCATTTTTGAGATAACTTTCCTTTTAAGCTCTGACCTCAACCATCATGTCTCTTATAAGCCATTGACTGGAATGCTGCTTCCATAGTGAAACCTGTTGTCAATATTAGGCCTAATTGTTGGTTAAATAGTGTATCTGAGTAAAAGGTATAAACAATTGAATAGTGAATAATTCTAGATCCCACACTGCATTTTCTTCATGCTGACTTAACATGCAGGAATGAAACACAGTGATGTTTTCATTATCTGTGGTCGGCTGGTGCTGCGTCAGCCTGCGACCTCTTATATTTATGATTCTGAATCTTTGATTGTTTAATCCTGGTGGGATGAATCAGGCGCAATTCATGATGCTATTTCTTTCTCTTCTCCTGCAGAAAAGCCGATGCCACAGGGACCTCCTGGCGGTATTGTTGGTATCTTGGGAGTTGTGGTGGTGGCCGGTCTGATTGTAGGAGTAGTGGCCACAATATGTATGGTGTACAGGAGAGGACAGAAGCCCCGTACAGAAACAGACAACGACCTGTAAGTACTTCACTCACAGGTGACACTGATTGTGGGCACTTTTTTTCCCATGGTCAATGTTGTCCCCATCACTTTATGAAATCGCTTACAGCAGGGACCAATCTACAGTAACACAGCAGAAGCACTGAACAGAAGTTTATGGGATCTTGTTTATGGGATTTCAGTGAAATCATAAAGAAAAATGCAAACAAATCTCTTCTTACTGGTTTTGTAATTAATAACAATATGGCTATACATAATATTAAATTATCATTTTTAATAATATGACTATAAATAATAATAATAATAATAATAATAATAATTTTATTGTTTTTATTTTTAATATTATTAAATAAATAAAAATACAAATACTAAATAAAAACAAAATAAGAAATATTGCTATTGTCATATTTCACTGTAAAATAAAAACTGATTGCGATTGTGCAGGTTTATTTAAATTATGTGTAAATTATTCGGTAATGCAGAGCCTTGTCATTGTCATTAAGAAGAATTAAACTCCAAAAATGCTATAGCGACCCAATTGGAGTGAACGTAAGGCTTCAGCAGCTGTTTCTGAAAGTATTACTCTGTATCATCCCATCATCATGCTGGGCTTCTGGGTACCCTAACGAAAGAACATCCTTGGGGTCATCACACTTAAAATATTCAGAAAAGAAGCATTTATAAATGCATCTCTCATTTTGCTGTTAGTGGATGCACTTGATTGCTTAAGAGCATGTTACCTATTTGTTAAAGAGGCTTCCTGATTGCTATGTAGACCTCATTTGTCCATTTCTCGGTTTGAGAGGCAGGTGTTTCAATCAGGGCTGATTGCAGGAGGCACGTCAGATTAGCACCAGAGCCTGTCAAATCTTAAAACATGTTAAATAAACAGAACACTTGACAGTCAACGGTTTTAAGCACACACTTCACAAAACTCAGGGCTACATGGAAACTCAGAAAGACCGAAAACTTTGGCCCTGGTGATCTACAGTGACTGGCAGTATCTATAGTTGAGAAGGCTATTTGTTAGAAACCAATAATGATAAGCTGTGGTTCTGTTTTTTTTTTTTTTTTAAGTTTTTAACTTCCTTTTGAAAATACAAAGTGTACTAGATTCCCTAATATCTGATGGTAATGTATTCCATAATTTTGGAGCATAATTTACGAAGGTTGCATCACCAGTTTTTTTTTCCCCCTTGTAGAACTGGGAACCTCCAATAAACCTGTATTATGTGATCTTAAGGTTCTTGATGGAGTAAAATTAACAAGAGAACTGGCAATACAATTATGGGCTGTATGCGCAATAAGAAGGACTTTAAAATCTATTCTACATTTTATAAGAAGCCAGTGCAGTGTAGCTAAAACTGGTGTTATATGCTCTCTTTTTTAGTTCTAGTCAATAGCCGAGCTGCCGAATTTTGGATAAGCTGAAGTCTATTAATTGATTTTTGTGGAAGACCGGTAAAAAGTGCATTACAGACTAACTTGATGAACCTGTGATATCTTCTTCAGGGTGAAAAAGGAACATAAAAGCTAAAACGTTTTCACGGAACCTTACAATGGTGAGGGAAAAGCTGCGTGTATTGCGTGTAATCACATCCATACAGTTTATGATCACAACAACAACAACGTTTGTCAGGCATCTACATCGTCACCTGAGGAGATTACAAAAATTAAACGAATGTTTTTTTTTAACTCTAAAACATGAAATGTGGAGTTATCTGCTTTTGTCAAAAAACGACTGTTGGAGTTATCTGCTTTTGCTATAAAACAAACTTTTAATATGTAAAATCAACTTTTAATGAACTTTGATTTTGTAAATTACCTGCATTTGTTTAAGTTATTATTACTTAATCAAAACAACCCAACTGCAGTTTGATTGATATTACTTGGAATGCGAAATAAAAAAACGTGATTTCTGAAAAAAAATACAAATGGGTTTTAAGCAAAAAATACAAATGGAGTTATTGTTTTTGCAAATTAACTCTTCATATAAAATCATGTGGGTTTTAAGCAAAATCTTCTATTGTTTCGTCATGCCATTTGCTTTAATAGCAAATGCACTAAAATGGTGTAGAAACTTTTTTTTTTTTACTCAGAAATTGCTAGCAAATGTTACAGTTGCGATACGTATGAAGAAACAGCAAGTAACACATTTAATTAATTATTACAAACTTTTGAAGTAAAATGACTGAATTACACTAATCCCACTTACCACAAGGTGCAATATTTCTAGTAATTTGTGCAATGAAAAAAACTTTTTTTTTTATGTCAAGAAACAACTTTTGTTATATCAAGATCACAAGAAAATTAAGTCAGGATCACAAAAAAAAAAAAATAATAAAATAAATAAATAATGCATGGCCTAGTAGGGCTTCAGTGTTTGTAAAACATACTTCAATAATCGTTTTATTTACAGATTCGCAAACTCTTTTTTTTTTAATCAGTGTGCTCTGTAGGCCTCTTAGCAGTTTGTTTGCTTTCTCGTTCCTTCCCTCGGTGATTTACTCAGGATGCCTTATTTTCCCTGCCTAAATGTAATTTCTTTTGTTTGTCATGACTGTCATTATTTATGAAGGAAAAAAGGGGGGTTTTCAAATCATCATAATTTAACGTAGTGCTGTTGTTTTCCCACAAGAATTCTAAATTTACCACCCAGCAGTAAATGGAGCACTTGTGTTTGTCGGTAAATGTAAATCACCCCGTGCAGCTGCAATAAGTGTCAAAGTGGAGCGTTCGGCTGTAGCTCTAACACGCATCCAGTCGCACCTTTTATCTGTGTCAAGAGTCAATACGCTTCAGCCGACCCTGTGAAACGGCACCTAAGATGGAGTAGTCTGCTAAAGACCTGGCATCTGCCCACGTTCTCTCTCGCAATCAATCCACAGGCCTAAAGAGACAAATAAAGCACGTTGATTTCATCTCAAAGGAATGAATTAGGAACAAATGAGGCTCTCCTCTCTCACTCGCTTTCTTTCTCTTATGCTTTGCTTCAGTAACCACTCTTTCTCTCTCTCTCTCTGGATCTCAGCATTGCAGTGGCTGATAGCTGTGTGACAAAGCCAGAGGCCCCTGGGACTGAGGCCCCAGAGAAGCCTGAATCCACCACCAGGAAAGTAAAGGCCATGGCTTCCTAGTCAACTCCTTTTCCAAATTTCCCCTCAAAGAGTCTCTGTGTGGCATGATGGCCTCCAGTTCTGTCTGTTTTGAGCTCTGTGTGAGCAGCATTTGAGCAGTAATAGGAAATATTGTGATGAATTCCACAAAAGATCACCAGGTGAGTCACAAAAACACCAGTTTACCCAATTAGAAATGAGCTGCAGGGGTGAAATCACTATTATACCAGAGCACCACCATCCTGGGGTGACAATAGAAATCGTAAGAATTTTTTTTTTTTTTAAGACTCTCTCTCACTCTCTCGCTGTCTTTTTTTAACTGCAAATTTGCGGTCAAGTAAAATAAAAAAAAAAATGATGTGAGATGAAACTTAAAATAAAAAATAATGATTGCAATGTCACAATTGTACGATATAGTCAAATTGTGAGAAATAAAGTTGTAATTATGAAAAACAAAGTTGCAATTGTCAGATATAAACACACACTGCAAAAAATAAATATATAAAAAAATATCTTATGTTTCCAGTGCGAATAACTAAACCGTCTTACATTAAGATTTACTTGAGAACAAAATGACTTAAAGGTGCACTAAGCGATTTTTGCCAAATGATGTTGATATTTGAAAGCACCAAAACAAACACGCCCATACCCCAACAGGACCTCGCCCCTTTTTTGATAACTCCGCCCCACACATACTTACACAAAACCTTGCAGCGACGATGACGGAATTTTCTATGCCGGCCGCAGCATATTCAAGCAAAAGCCAACACAGAAAAGTTGTGTGAAAAAGCAAAATCAACATAACTCACCTGTCAAGAAGAAACAAAGCAACCTCGGCGTTCGATTTCCTTCCTCTCCTTGAGTTCTCTCCACTACTGGAAGCTGCTCTGATATTTGCACGGTCCTACCTCTTGCTTAATCATAACCCTTCTTTTTAATGTTTTGTTCCTCCGAATTTATTTATTTATTTTTTATCTGCCATCTCTCGCTATCTAGAGTCGATCTGCTAATATCCGTCCTGTGCACTCACTGAGTGCTCTCTTCTCCCTATCATTACTAGACGCCCCTTACTGCTGATTGGCTGCGAGTTTGTTTTGGGATTCGGTCCGACACAGTGGTCAAAAGCATTTTTCAAAAATACTATTAAGAGTATTTGAGGATAGGTGAAAGATACATCATGCGTTGGGACACATCATCAGTGATGTATCCTGGGGTCATGGGTGTTTCGGGTCTTTCAACATCAGACACCTCACTCCGGCCTGTGTCCCAGCAGCATTTGCCCATGGTTCTGCCCTCTTAATCGAAAGCCAACTAGTGTCTTTCTCTTTTTACAGTGCATAATCGGGAAATCAAAAGTCACAATTATAAGTAATAATAATAGTAATAATAGTTTTTATTTATTCATTAATGCATTCAATTAATTCAGGCAGTCAGTCAGTCATTCACTTACTAACTTACTTAGTGTTAGTCCGGGCTTCCATTGATTTTTGGTCATGTTACTGGAATTACTGCAGTTAAATGACAGAACTAGAATCATCCGAATCTGCAACTCCTCCTGTTTAATTTAATGTGGGGTGACATACAATTATTTGAAATAAATGTAATTACCACCATAAATTATATACTGTAAATGTATACTTTTTAAAATATAAATTTATAAAAATTATCTGATGTTTATGTTAAGGGATAAGTTGTATCAGATCGTTCAAGGAATTATCAAAGTTTGAGACATGAGGTGCAAAAAAGCACAGATGTTGAACTAAAATAGGTAGAACACTCCCCTGTCTCTCCTAGAGTTGTAGATAAGTCTCAGGGGAAAAAAAGAAGAAGAAAAAAAAAAGGTTTGTATGAATTCCTTATACTCTCCAGCTAAAGTTTTAATAGTTTTGACCAGACCACAAACGCAGTACAGTTTTTTGATGACTTTGCAGTAGCCGGAGATGAAGAAAGGCCTAAATGATGTGCGCAAGCTACAAAGTTGAACTTTTTGAAGTGTGCACTTTCATCATGCACTCTTTTGATGAAAAGTTATTTGTGTAACAATCATTCCTCAAGAGGGTTTTCATCTAGATTTACTTCTAAAACTAAAACTACATTACACTTACCCACACTGCAAACTCTGCTCAATATGCTAAAGCACGTCTTCCTAACCTCCGTTTGTCTCTTTTCTCTCCCTGTGTTGCCTGCAAGCATGTTTCTGTCTGCATGTCCAGAATATGAGTCCCTGGTGAACAGTGGTCCTCATCTAGTGCTGCTTGTTGCTGGTGTTTCAGTGAGCTGTCGTAGCTGTGCTTGTCTGTTTGTAATTCTATTAGGAACCGTTTTAACTACATGAGATACAAAAAAAAAAAACAAAAAAAAAAAGGAACTTCCTCAAATTATTTTTCAACATTTATTGCTGAAGTAGATTTTGGTGTAATGGTAATTACATTTCTCACTTTTTTTGCAAAAAAAAAATAAATAAATAAAAATTCTAAAATAATATAATATAATATAATATAATAATCATGCTGAGAGACATAGGGTTTTTGGGAATGTTTTTGATCGTCCATATGTTTCATGATCATTTAAAATTAAGAGTGTATTCTTTGGATTGTATCATTCAGTGTGATATTTATATAGTGATTAAAGTCATACTGTAGTGGTTTCGAAATCAAGGTGAAGTACAAATCAAAGCTTTTCAGAGTAATAACAAAGAGTCTGGTAACAGGGACATCTGTAAGAGTATGTGAACTCGGTCCCTCTTGATGGCTTTAATATGATGTGTGTCAGAAATAGTCAATTCCCATAATTCTCAGTTCTCATGGAGGCCTAAATGATACATAACAGTTGGTCTCTGATCATGAACAATGCTGCTGGCAGTTCAAGGAGTCAATCACTGTGATTCAGTTCTCAATGATGGGCAGTCTGTGAAAACAGATAAAGACACAATGTAATAAAGCATAATTTATATCCCTAGGGATGAGTTTGTGATAATTCATTTTATGTTGACACAGCGGTATATAATCAATGCAGTCTATTTCCTTGATTCTAAATGTGTTCCTGTGTATGAAAATAATGTGGCACTATTTGATTTTTGAGAGCAGTCTGGCCCATAAGTGTGCTGGTATTGACTTCTGACAACTAGAGCTGAAGTGATATTAAAGGCTGTGCTGCAATAATTTAACTTCCTTGCAGAGAGAAAGTTACAGTGACAGGGCAATGACAGGGTTGATTATAAGCCAAAGACAACAATATGGATCGGCTTCGGGTTCTCTTGAAGAGATTTTACAGCACCTGAAATTTGCTGCATCTCAGCAACTAAGTGATTTACTTGTACATTTTTTTAATATTTGCATCTATCCATCCATATGTCTGCCTGCCTGTCTGTCTGTCTGTCTGTCTGCCTGTCTGTCTATGCATCCATCCATCAGACAGATGGACGGATGGACAGACGGATAGATAGACAGATAGACAGACAAACAAAAGTTTAGATAGACTGACAGACAGACAGATTAATGGACGGACAGAAAGACAGAGAGATAGACTGACAGACAGATAGATAGACAAATAGACAGACAGATACATGGATGGACAGATAGACAGACAAATAGACGGATGAACAGATAGACATACCGATATATGGACAGACGGATGGATAGACAGACAGACAGATAGATAGACAGACTGATGGACAGATAGACAGACAAATAGACAGACAGATACATGGATGGACGGATGGACAGATAGACAGACAAATAGATGGATGAACAGTTAGAAAGATACATGGACAGATGGATGGATAGACAGACAGATGGACGGACAGATAGACAGAAAAAAACGGATAGACAGACATACATGGACAGATGGATGGATGGATGGATAGATAGACAGATAGAAAGACAGATAGACTGGCGGACAGATAGACAGAAAAAAACGGATAGACAGACATACATGGACAGATGGATGGATAGACAGACAGATAGACTGGCGGACAGATAGACAGACAAATTGACAGAGATACATGGATGGACGGATGGACAACTAGACAGACAGATACATGGACAGATGGATGGATAGACAGACAGATAGATGGGCGAACAGATAGATAGATAGATAGATAGACAGACAGACAGACAGTCAGGCAGATAGACAGATGGACAGACAGTCAGGCAGATAGACAGATGGACAGACAGACAGACAGGCAGATAGACAGATGGACAGACAGTCAGGCAGATAGACAGATGGACAGACAGACAGACAGACAGATGGACAGACAGACAGACAGACAGATGGACAGACTGACAGGCAGACGGACAGATGGACAGACTGACAGTCAGGTAGATAGACAGATGGACAGACAGACAGACAGACAGACAGATAGATGGGCGCACAGATAGATAGATAGACAGACAGACAGACAGACAGTCAGGCAGATAGACAGATGGACAGACAGTCAGGCAGATAGACAGACAGACAGACAGACAGACAGACATACGGACAGATGGACAGACTGACAGTCAGGCAGACGGACAGATGGACAGACTGATAGACAGATGGACAGACAGACAGACAGGCAGGCAGATAGACAGATGGACAGACAGACAGACAGACAGGCAAACTGACTGACTGACTGATTGATTGATTTTGGTCTGAGTCTGAATGTAGAGAGCCTCATATTAGTATTAGCTAATTTAGTCTGGGTCTGGTCTGATGAAGGAGACACATCATAATAAGATCCTAAATGTAATTTCCTCACTAACAGTAATTCTGAATTTGAGAGGAGACAAAGACCAGCAAATCATTGGCTCCTCCATATCAGATTGCGTTTCCCCTGTTGCACAATTAGAAGTGTCATTAGCATTCAAATTACCAAATAAGATTGTGATCAACAGAGATCAATGAAGGTGCCAGAGACTGGCCTCACTTCACATCCTGCCCATGGAGATCTGGACCTGAAGTCCTAAAGAAACACAAGATAAACAGTGACAGGCCAGGTTGCAGCTCTGATTGTTAA